ATCACACGAAGTAAAGTAACTTAAATTTGCTGAAGTGGATTTTAATGGATTTTCCCATTGATATATCCACAAAAGCTCGGGATTCTATTGGGACGGTGTGTAGAAAATTATTGGGACAATCAAGCAAATCCAAGGTTACCCTTCAGGGTACCCTCTGGTAGTCTAGCATAGGTATAGGTCTAGGTAGGGAAAATAGCTAAATTGATTAATCGTATTTAATTAATACTATTATTTATATATTATTTACGTATATTGTGTTTAAAGATTATAGATGATTATAGATTATTGTGGATTATCATAAATTATTCAAATTGTAATTTGAATAAAGGGATTTTCCATGACAAACTGTAAGTTGCCAGAGGCTAGGCAAATCGAAATAGTAATTTTAGTTTCACCTCCAAAATTAGGACACCCCATTTTTCTTGGAAACAACTGCGTGTTTTTATCTCTACTAAACCATTGGTTTCTGGGTTTCGGGGGGGGTAACAATCATTATTACAGAAAGGGACGCCACCAGGGTCCACAAATCACATACTTGCAATTTTGCTGATTTTTAGTTATTCCCCACCTGCCAGGTGAGGGTTGTTAGATTTTATCTAAGTTGCCTGGTCCTCCTCCTCCTCCTCCTGCCGCCTCCTCCTCCTCTCCTCCTCCTCTCGTTGTCCTCCTCCTCTCGTTGTCCTCCTCGTCCTCCTGCTCAACTGCGACTCGCGATCCACAGTGTTCGCTGTCGGACCTCAACCACGACCATCCACGCCCAGTTGTTTACCCTGCCGGAACCTTAACCACGAACAGCACGACCAGGTCCCGGCGGACCTCACACGACCATCCCGCCCCGTGTTTTTTCCCGCCGGACCGCGCCCACGACCCATCCACGACCGTGTTACCTGCCGGACCTCAACCGCGGAGTATCCCCGCCCAGTGTTCCTGCGGACTAACCACGACCATCACACGCCCCAGTGTTCCATGCCGGAACTCCACCGCGAGTATCCACCGCCAAAAAAGAATGCACATGAGTGCCAGAAGATATGCCAGATAGAATTGTTAGAAGATATGCCAGATAGAATGCCAGAAGGTATATGCCAGATAGATAGAATGCCAGAGAGAAGCAGATAGAATGCAGAAGATAGAATGCCAGGATGGAATGCCAGAAGATATGCCAGAACATATGCCAGAAGATATGCCAGAAGATATGCCAGAACATCTGCCAGAAGATATGCCAGAACATATGCCAGAAGATATGCCAGAAGATATGCCAGAACATCTGCCAGAAGATATGCCAGAATATCTGCCAGAAGATATGCCAGGTAGAATGCCAGAAGATATGCCAGATAGAATGCCAGATCGAATGCCAGAAAATATGTCAGATAGAATGCCAGAAGATTTGCCAGTAACAAAATGTATAAATGTCATGGTGGGGATCACACGAAGTAAAGTAATTTTCTTTTTTATTCTTGCTGTTATCAATGACTTCTATTGGAAGGATATGTATATATGTATACATTTCATCAAATACACGTATCTATTTCATTTCCCCTCAAGGATTTATACAAGAATTTGTTTCAGCGACGCTACTCCAGGGGTGTCGAGCAAAAAAAAAGATATATATATATATATATATATAACGCTACTCCCGGGGGGGGAGTCGAGCAAAAAAAAATAATATATATATATATATATATGTTGTGCTCGACCACCCCTACTCCCTGTGAGAAGAGAATGCGCAGGATGTGGCCAGTGGGGACTAGATCGATGCCAATGCCAAGTTGAAAAAAAATGGAACACCTGGGGACAAGTACAGGGGACACCTGGGGGAGAAGTAAAGGGGACACCTGGGGGAGAAGTAGGGATACACAAGGGTGACAACTAGGGACAAACAAAGTGGGAAACATAAGATAGAGAGACTCAAAGAGGACAGAGTAGAGACAGACATGGAAGATGACAAACTAGGGACAGACATGGAAGATAACTAGAGGCACACAAGGGGGGGTACAATATGGAGACACGGGAGAAGGGGAGGAAACAAAGTAGGAACATGCAAGGGGGTGAGGGGCAAAGTAGGGACAGATTAGGAACATGCAAGGGCACATAAGTGTTTCAGTGCTTCAAGAGGTTATGGTCCTAGGTATGGTATACAATATGTCTCTATGCCATATATATATATAGCAGTCTTCAAGTAGATATTGATGTCTCAAGAGCTCCTTGTGATATAGGCAACATGGATGTTGCATATGCTATGGCCATATGCTGTATCAGCACACCCAAGGTGCATATGTGCTTAGAATGCCACTGTAGCCATATTAAGTGTATATATATATATGTATATATATATATATTGATGAACTTGCATGTTCCTTGGTCTTACTACTGTATGCATCTATGATATGAATGGTGCATATAAGTAGCGCATGCCAATACATACACACATTTTCCACATGTACTTTGCATATGCAATGCAATTCTTCTAGGGCTGACTGCAATAAAGACTCTTTTGGCTGCAACTGACTTTGATCATAAGAGTTGGCACATGGCAAGGGCAACTCCAACTTACCCGTTCTCCAAACATATAGGTTTTTCCTGCATATTTCACAGTAATTTGCTATGCCACTGCACATCTATGTAGATACCCTGTTACCATAATTGTTTGGCTGTGCTTTTATGACAGGATGAGTAACATATGACAGGATGAGTAACACCCAAAAAGAATTAAGACTGTTTATAAAACTGGACAGAAAACAGCTATGACACAACACATTGTACTAGGAAGTAGCATCTCCCAGAATGCATTCGTATGGAAAGGGGTCCCTTCTCCATCCTTTTGATCAATACTCACTCCTGCCCTTAGCTCTTTGATCTATATACTGTATGAAAAGTTTCAGGTGTTGTTTGTGCTTCAGTGGGTGAATGGTTTCAAGCAGTATGCAAGCACATTGCCACAAGTGTGCAGTAGATATACAGTAGAAATGGCAGCTTCAAACATGCACTGATATCTAGAGGGTTGCTTGTGATCAAAGCAATATTTTTTTTGCAGATACCATGGCCATTTGCTGTGTCAACACATCCAAGCTGCATATGCACTTAGAATGCAACTATTTTATATGTACATTTTTTCTTATATAGTACATACAGTTATGGAATGGGTTGCATGTAAGTCACCTATGCCCTTACTGGCACAAGTTTTGTACATTTTTTCCTGCGTATGCAATGGGAATCTTCCAGGTTTTAATGCAGTAACAGCTCTTTGCTTAAAATATTGGTTCATCACAAGAGTTCGCAAATTCCAAGGGCACTTCCATTTCCCCCTTGCTTCAGAAAAGGCGTTTCCAGCATATTCCATGGTAATTTGCTGTGTCACTGCAAATATAACGGCATACATTTTAGAATCATAAATGTACTCATGGTTGTGGGTAAAACTTTAAATATGCAAGTATAAGTTTATCATGGTATCCAAAAGGGCACACAACCAAGTAAAAGAGACACCTATGCAACCTTACCAAACAATTGTCAGTATCTATAGAATGGCAGCCTTGTTTTGTGCATCGATGCAGCAAGTTACCATGAAGTATGCCAAAAACATATTACAACTACTTGAGCAGGGACAGTAGATTGGAATCTGCACTTTCCTTTGCTAAAAGAGTTCCATTGGAACTGTCGTGTCAACCAAAAGGCGACCTGGCAGTCCAATAGCAAAAACCACCAATGCAAATACCAAGTGCTATGTATATATATATATATATACGTATATATATATACACCGTCTTTGCAATAGCTGTATACCTAGAAAGTACCTATATTTTAATATACATATATACACATGAAGTACCAACTGACATCATGAATCTAGCTGTATACCTAGGTAGTACCAATTGACAAATCCTATGAACTAATTTAATAAATATCACATTAAAAGTATGCAGTGAATGACCAAAAAACACAAAACATATGAAAAGACAGAGAAAAACACTGAAAAATACGGGCCCTCACAACGTCCCACTCTCTTATTAATAGTTCTATATATATCACATTCTATCAATATCCCGTTACAGTTGTTGACAGTTGTACATATCCTATGATTAATGATTGGTTGCTCAAAACCCCTGGCCCCTGTCTGTTGATGATGATTTCTGGGATTACCCTATACCCAACATACAATGGGGGTTATCTTAATCCATGAACTGGGAATCCCAATAGAAACCGGGGCGGTATATAGGGGAAAAAATGCCGGTTGTGAACATTGCCCACATATTGAATATTTATCATTCATGATCGTATATCCCATCATTTATGTTCCTAGTCTCTTTGAGTCAATATCCCTAGTTAGTTTTATAGTTTAACTATGAATGTTCAATAGTTCGTTTGTTATATATCATCATATCTCATTATATATCATTATATATCAGTATATTTCATTATATATCATTATATATCATTATATATCATTATATTTCATTATATATCATGATATATCCCTTTAGTGTATATTATATATATATATATATATATATCCCTTAAATGGCTGAAATGCACTGTTTGATACCAGTTGAAGATCACTCTCGTAGGCAAAGCCATGGATTTCCATGATACGTTCATCTGTGATTTCCTTTGGGCCAGAAGATTTGCGATGTCAGCCCTACAATGTGAGGCCCTCACGATAGCTAAGTTAGCTTAGAACTAAAATAACTGATGGGTTTTGGGGGCTAGCATTGTTCTTGGGTACATCTAGCCATTATATTCCTATTATACTAGCATAAGTCCCATGACATTCCCATGATATCCCATGATATTCCCATTATAACCCATGGCATATCCCATGACATATCCCATGACATTACAATGATCATGGCCAATCTTAGATACCCTGCAAAAAATTAAATCCTTAGCTGGTTAGTAGATAATCCCATTGATACCAAAAGACTAAAGGATTAAACTAGCTACTAGCCATCCAAGATTGAGCTAGTGATATTCCCATTAAGCATCATTTTTTTGTTCTTTTTTGTTTGCTAAATCCTTGTCCTTGCTGAAAAAGCCGGCGCAACCGGCGCCCCCTCCTGGCGGTGTAGCTTCATCTCAAGGAGCTCGCGCTCCTGGGGCGGGGAAGTGAAGATGTAAAACTTACCCCAGAATCTTGATCATTATCATTACCAATATAGGTATAACAAATCACCTAATGATTTACCATAAGATGTAACACATTATCACATGTGCTTAACATATTTCTTACATAATGTAACACATCACCATTTCTGGTAAAACATCATGATCACCTCTGGTCAACATACCATGCTATGAAAATGGGTAAATCAGCGAACTCTCGACTGGGCCATGTTCAATAACTATGTTTGTTTACCCCCCAGTTCTAAGTTAGTTGGTTAACAAAAGCCCCAGTAACTAGTTCGTTATAAGTACCATAAACCAGAGTGACATTGGAGTTATAAACTAGATATCTTGGGGGCCTCACTAATTGTATGTTTGTTTACCAGAGGGCAATACTGTGGGTGGAATGCTGAATGGATGAGAACTGGGGGGTACCACCTTGGATTGTTGAAATCCAAACAAAATCATGGGAGAAACGAACTGTCAACTGGTGCAGGATTTCGCTTCACGATCCACAGTATGGTGAATATGATCTAAATAATGGTTGAATGTGGTTACTCTATATACATATATATATATATATATCTTTAGTATCGTGTAATATCCATTCATTTAGATTTATGTAACATATCCTAATCAGTTGTATGTAATATTACCTCATTGTATCCATTTATTTTTTTGTAAACTCATGTAAACAATCCCATTAACCAAGCAAAATAGATGATAACTACAATTAGTGAGGCCCCCCAGTTATAAGTTAGTTGGTTAACAAGTTAGCCCCAGTAACTAGTTCGTTATCTGCGGACCATAAACCAGTTCGTGACATTGGAGTTATGTGAACCCCAACTTAGATATCGAACGGGGGCCTCACATTGTAGAGGTACCCCCATTTCAGAAAACCCCAGGTTGATGGGATTAATATGGATTTCCCTATATTTCCATCCAGTAAACAAAGAGGTTGCGAACTGCGAACTTTAATGGCCCATCTGAAAAATGCGGTGATCACTCGCGAACTTCATAAAATGGTGATAGCCCAGTTCGCGAGTTAGGTAACCAGAAATGGTAACGCACCAGAAAAAAAGCGGAAAGTCCGGTTTCAAGTTATATTCCCATCTTATGGAGATGGACGGGATTACCATAACATGATATTGGGAACATATGCCTTTCTGTATAGATATACCATGATATTGGGGTATACTTTCTGTATAGATATGGATCTTATAGTATGTCACTATTCTGTAGATCTAGGTATTTCATTGGGAAAATAATGCCTTTCTCCATAACATCGGCTTCCAGATTGTGATGGTAACCAACATGGTGCTTTTTTTAATGGGAAGATCATGGCATATGGGATATCATGGGGGTCCGGGGTCCCACTCGAAGAATTTTACTGGATATGGCAATATATTGGATGCATAGCTGAATTCTGATGTTTTTGTTCTTCCACGGTCCGAAAATTTCACTCATAGAAGGGTGTGTGTCTGAAAATAGGGTACCCCAAAATTTTGAACCGTGAACCTTCAGTGATTTGTTTTTGGTGCATACTTCAGTATACTTCATGCATGCTTCCGTGTTTCGGGTGACTCTTGTTATCTAACAGAGACGTCTCCTAGATAATCCCTCACTTCGAGCTGAAACTTAAGAGACCTAGATGGGATGTACATGGCATGGGAACTGCCGTCGAGCTCGCTTGACCAGAATCAGGATCCGACAGGAATAGACTGGCCGATATGATCCCTGTGAATCTTTGACTTTGGAATTGGCTACCCGTTGCTCTAATAAGTACTGCTTGGTGGTTGACCTACCCCTCTGAAAAATATTTGAGTTCGTCAGTTGGGATGATTATTCCATTCCCAAGCTAATTCACCATTTTCAATAGCTATTTACCACCACCAACCAGAGTATCTTGTGTGGTGGTAAATAGCTATTGAAAATGGTGATTTAGAATATTGATCAACATATATACCCTCTGGTAAACTAACATAACGAACTGGAAAGATCCACCATTTTTAATGGGAAAGCTCACTAAAAATGGATTTTGATGATTTTGTCTTTCTGTGGAACAATCCCGATGATTCAATCCCATGTGGCTATGGGTCACATTGTCCTCCCGATGAACCAAGCTTCATGTTTTAAGTTGTCAAAAAATGAGGATGGAGAATGGAGAATAAACACAACAAAACACAACAAAACAACAAAATCATAATATCCCGAAGAAGTTTTATGTCTTCCTAGACCCTGCAAGTACCCTTAAATATTTGGAGAGTCTAGGGTTCTTAAAAAAAAACAATGCCATTCATTGAATCGCCATCATTCTGGACAACCCAAAAACATTTTGAGTTGCTCCATGTGGCTATGGGTCACTTCACCGGCGTACCCCGGCGTGGCCTTCCAAAGACAAGAATGGAAAGCCGAGACGTCGGGTCTGTTCTTGATTTTTGAATTTGTTACATAGTCCAGATCTTAGAGCAACATACAATCTCACATATTCTCTTACATTTGCATTTCAATATGTTTTTTTGTGTTTAATGTATTATATAATTGTATCTGTATAATAGTTATAAAATATCATATACATATGTAAATGGAAATATAGGTCAAACAATAATAAACCATCCCCCACATCACCATAAATAGGTGCTATAAACTATAAACTATTCCCAAGAAATGTGTTGCAAGCCTCGGAAGAATGGCTCCGGCCCCTCCTTCGCTTGCACTGCATGGTGCAGAGCCAACGCCTCCTCTTGCTGCTCCTAGCGCGAGCGGTAGTCAGGCGCAGCATTGGAGAAACGTCAAATGTTTCTTGCTTTAGATTCACCCCATGATTATTACCTTCTGGTAATTTAACATAGCTATTGAAAATGGAATGGCCTTTAAGCCTTTTATAGTGGATTTACCCATTGAAAATGGTGGATCTTTCCATAGATTTTTGTAGGTTTACCAGAGGGTATAGCTATTTGCATATCATAAACCATAGATAACCATAGTGACATTGGTGTTATAAACGCACGCACCAGCTGAACGCTATCGTAAACGGGGGCCCACATCAGTCATATCTGATCTCCTCCAAATCCTCCATAAACCATCGGCCATTGACCGTGCTTGAACGATTCTACGATACTCATGCGACAACGACTGGTTGGTGGTTGACCTACCCCTCTGAAAAATGATGGAGTGAAAGTCAGTTGGGATTATTATGGATTATTATTCCCAATATATGGAAAAATGTTCCAAACCACCAGCCAGATGATCGTTTCAGCAGTGAGTTGTTGCCACCAAAACTGGATTGAACAAGAAATGCTTCAAAAAAAACATGGAAAAACATCCTAAGAAACTCGATCTCTGTTGATCTCTGTTGAGCGTACATTTCTGTACTCCAAAATCCGTTTCCTCCAAGGTGCGTCTCAAGCCACCGTTCAGCATCTGATTCTGCACCTGGCATTCCTGGCGTGGCACGTGATGATCTTGACATAAACTTCAATCAATGGGAGATCTTCAGGATCCATTTTATGGAGCTACGTAAATGTACCATATGTTTGGCCTTATTTTGTAGGGATATTCCCTAAAAAATAGGCCTGATTTACATAGGCCATTTTTCTATGGAATCGGTACCGTTACCGTCCTAAAAAATCGGATCCTCGAGATTTCGACGTCCAGATGGGCCGTCGACATACCATAGCTTAAACGCAAAAAGGTATTATCAGGTTAGGTAACTTTAAAAACAAACAAAAACACAATTCCAACTATTATCCCATATGATATTTATCCCGTCATTATCCCAGTTCCTCCTATGATCACAATCATGTATTTAGATATCCTATACCCTTGAAATCTCAAAAAGAATGGTATATATATATAAACACTGAAATCATGAGCAAAACACAATTTCTATGGCTACTTGGAGGGTCTAGGTATGATGGAAACATAGACATTTCCCCATTTATAAATGAGTGCCCCATGAAAACTAGGCTCGTTCACCAGTTTCTAGATCAGTTTTCCCACTAACGCATCCCACGGATACTTTCAGTAGCTTATATCAGTCAGTTTTTTTCGGAACTTGTGGGGTGATCATCAACCAAAACATCCAAGACCAGAATGAACTAAGCCAGCAAAACCAGGGTGAACTACTGTGGATGGGCCAGCGAAATCCGATCAACCGATGGTTGAAACCCAAACAAGATCATGGGAAAAGCAAACAAAAAGTTAACTGGTGATTTCGCAACCATCCACAGTATCTGGTTGGTGGTTGACCTACCCCTCTGAAAAATATTACTAGTAGTCAGTTGGGATGATGACATTCCCAACTGAATGGAAAGTCATAATCCATTCATGTTCCAAACCACAAGGTGGCGCCCCCCCCAGTTATAAGTTGGTTTATAGTCCCATTAACTAGTTCGATATATCTACCATAAATCCTAGTTATTAGAGTTTTGAACCAACTTAGCTATCAAACGGTGGCACCACATTGCACCAACCAGGTATAACTTACTTAGACCTACTTAGGATCCCTTAGGATCGCTAGGATCGACATCCCGTGCACCGTCCGCAGCGTCCGCACCACAGTGGACCTCCTGCAGCTTCAAGCGATGCTCCCAGAGGCTCCTCACATGCTCAGAAGCCTGGCGAACTTGGAGAAAACCAGCAGCTGTTCATCCAATTTCACGATGGTTTCACGATGGTTTGTGATACGATACTCATATAATAGATCTAATGTCACTATAGTTTTCATGGAGATTATAAACCCAATGTCATTATGGTTTATGAATGTTTATGAATGTTTATGAATGTTTATGAATGTTTATGAATGTTTATGAATGTTTATGAATGTTTATGAATGTTTATGAATGTTTATGATAATTACTAATAACTAATAACGAACTATTCATGGGGTGAATCTAAACCATCTTATAACTAAGGGGGGGCCACATAGGGAAATGGTATAGATGACCCATTTAGTGCAGTGAATTGCCGAACTTAAGAGTGGGGATTTGAGCAACTACAATGTGAGGCCCCCCAGTGATGTTAGTTGGTTAACAAAAGCCCCAGTAACTAGTTCGTTATAAGTACCATAAACCATAGTTATTGGAGTTATAAACCAACATATATATCTTGGGGGCCTCACATTGTAGAGTTGTTTGTTTTTTGGTGATGAATCACTAAGTGCGTTCCAAATGCGGCTAGTCTATGTTCATGACGTGTTGCCGAGTTGGCTTTCAGTCTGAAAATGGGCTGCCCCGTCCCATCCCATGTTTTTTTGTTGCTGATAAACAAAGCCCGGCGTAAAAGGAAAATCCTCACGGTCAAACAGAACCAGGTTCTACTTGGGGGCGCAAATCCAGTTCTAAGTGGATATATATGATATATAACAATAGTTATAGGGGGTTATATCATGTTATATCCCAACTTATGGGCATGTCATGGCATGTCTAACCATGGTTCTAGCCATTTGTAACTTCAATTGCACCCCAAGTATTGTTGAATATGATATGCATATCCCCATTGTATCCCATGAATCCCATGAAAAGGAAAAGTTTTCCATTACACCAGTCATCACATTAAAGCAGTCATCATATGTCATCATGGATTTTTCCCCTTTCAAGCAGCATATGTTTGTCTATTTCGAGACAAGCCTTTCCCTGCCATCAAAACGTTACCCTTTGGCATAACTATCGACACTCTCCACAAAAAACGTCGATACCCGTCTACCCCTCAATTAACCACAGCCATTGGTTTTGTTGGGAAAATCGAAACTGGAAAGCCATTGAATCAACCAATCATCCCAGTTGGGAGTTTCTGGTTGGTGGGGGCGACCTACCTACCCCTCCGAAAGATGATGGAGTGAGTTCGTCAGTTGGGGCCCGATGACATTCCCAACTGAATGGAAAGTCTTAAAATTCCATGGTTCCAGTCACCACCAACCAGATCATTTATCAATTATATCCCCATGTTTGTTCTAAGTCACTTCCAAATGTTGGTCAATTCCCATGAAATCACCAATCAGTTGATGGTTATCAGTATTATTATTCCCTTTGATATTCCCATTATACCAATATATTCCCAAAAACTATTCCCATTATACCACAAATCAATATTATTCTTCCCATCAACATATAATGATTATTCCTAAAAATTTCATTATTGTTATTATTCCCATTTATACTCCCATTATTCCCATGATATTCCCATTATACCACTGTAATCCCAAAAAATCCATTATTGTGATTGTTTCCATGTATATTCCCATTATATTTCAATGATATTCCCATGGAAATCACCGATCAGGATCAAACAGGAGTATATTATTTCAATGATATTCCCATATTTTGATATTCCCATAGTAGGTTTGTCAATAGATATTTTTCTATGTTTCAATATATTGTTAGAATGTTATATTCCTACGGTAATATTAACAAACCTATGGTCATATTCCCATGTTATATATATATATAGACACCCTCTGGTTATGACTAACATAGCTATGGAAGATGGTCCATAGAAATAGATGGTTTACCTATTAATAGCATGGTGGATCTTTCCATGGCAAACTGTTTGTCAATAGATCAACCACTCCCCCGGGACTTTCATCCTCTCCCGGATCTCGCTCGGCCTCCCAGAGATCCCTCTCCGAACAGGCGAGTTTTTTCTGGCGCCAAGGGAACCACGAAAAAAACCGGCCGTTTGGCCAAGGGAAAGGTGGCTTTCCCATAGGAAAACCATAGGAAAACCATAGGAAACCATAGGAAAACCATAGGAAAACCATAGGAAAATTAGGGTGATTTAACCAGCAAACATTTTTTGATGATATTAGGACTTATAGCTGATTGATGATCATCATTTACTAATTATCATTGGTATAACTCCAATGTCACTATGTTTTGTCATGTTTTATATCACTATGGTGATAAGTTGGGTTTATAATAACTCCAATGTCACTATGGTTTGCAACTTCATAGCGTTCGGTCGGTGAACATAACTCCAATAACTATGGTCTATGGTACTTATAACTTATAACTTATAACTATCTGGTTGGTGGTGCAATAACCATCTTGAAAAATGATGGAGTTCGTCAATGGGAAGGATGACATCCCATATATGAAATGGAAAATAAAAGTCATGTTTGAAACCACCAAGCAGCAAATAAACAACTAACTATATAAGCATAAACAATTTAGAAAACTTACGTGTAATTGAAGCCTAATCAATGAGAACGTTGGTTACATATAAGCAAATAATGGTTGAACTGGGGTTTAATTGATAAGATAACCGATGTTGTCATGAAAATTCGATACTTGACAATGGTTGCACACTGTTAAGAATGCGTTTGTATTTTTTTTGTTCATTGTTGTTTTTTCTCAACGATACATTTTTTTTGTGAAAACAAACAAGTAAAATATATACACCAAGCAATAGTGAAACTGGGGATATATCTACTACATTCTATAACCAACAGTCATTAGGTCGATTCATGAAAACTGACAAAGACTTACACCCCGGTTGATGAGTTACAGAAACTGCGGATTCAACTTGATTCAACTTGGTAAATTAAAGTATATTATTTAACTAACTGATGGATTTAAACATATTTAAACATTTTTTTATCCAAATGATGGATTTAAGATAAATTCATACTTGATTCAACTGATTTAAGCATACTTTATCTTGGTAAATGGTAATATGTCACTGACCTGCAAAGCTCGGCGATCATTCCAGTGACGTGAGGTGGAAGAGATCCATTTTGTTGTGGATGTTGAACCAAATACGACCGAAGATATCTTTGTTTCGAATACAATGAGCTGGTTGGTGGGGGCTACCTACCCCTTTGAAAAATGATGGAGTGAAAGTCAGTTGGGATGATTATTCCATTCCCAACTGAATGGAAAGTTATAATCCATTCATGTTCCAAACCACCAACCAGTACAACTAACAGTATGGTGGTGTTTCTGGGTCCAATCGAAATGTTATCCGCAAAATCCCTTTATACTGTTTGGTTGAGAATGGCATTCCCATTGTGGATGGTAACAACGGTAACAATCCCCGATGCACCAGGTAGGTTGCTCCCGTCATTTTGTATTCTTGAAGAGTGTTGTTGTTGGTTAAACCGTGCTAGATCCCAACAATGTGAGGCCCCCGCTCGATATCTAAGTTGGTGAACATAACTCCAATGTCACTATGGCTTATGGTACTGATAAAGAACTAGTTACTGGGGCTTATCTTAACCAACAAAGATAACTGGGGGGCCTCACATTGTATGTTCATTGGCTGAGACCAATTGATGCCCCGGCTTTGGTGTTTGGTCAAACCAAACACAGATTTAAAGACTCAGAATGCTTGGATTTTCCCATTGGGATTGTCTGGGTCCATGTGAAAATTACCTGAAACCTGGGCCTGAAACCGGGTAGTCATCTTCAGCTTGTTCTGTACCCGGCCTGGTAAACATACAAAAAACGATGGGAAATATTGGAAAATCACAATGTTCAATCGGAAAACTCACTGTAAATGGCCATTTTCAATAGCTATTTTGACATAACCAGAGGGTATTCCTCCAGTCCAGTTCTATACGTGGTTCCCAACAGAATATGAAGTGGATGACCTGCGGGTCGCAAACAAAGATTCCAAGATGGATTAAAAAGACTTATGCCCAGTCCCGGCATTTGTTTGAAGGACAAAGCAATGCCTTCTTATAGATTTGCCCAACATATCCAGAAATCTATAGATCTATGGAAACATATAGAAACGTCTAAGACTAACAACATGTAAAAAAAAACAACTCTAATTATTTGGCCAGTCTTTCCATGCCATGTGATCAAGATATCGCTCAATATTTCCCTGTCTGCCAGTCCTCAAGCAGATGTTTCTCCTCTGAAGACTGGCGCAGCTGACCTAGCCTCAGTCTGCATCTGAATTCAGTCTGACCTCGCGTTTCAATGGATTGGTTTAAGGGAAAATCTACAGGAAACCATAGATTTTCCCATTAAATATGGGGTTTTCCTGTAACTTATCCCTTAAACCAATCCATTGAGTGTTAGATTTGTCTATTAAAAAGGCCGAAACCTACTATTGTCAATTTGGGACAAGCATCGATTACACCAACTATTTCGGGGTTCAATAGGCACCAGGGTTTTGACACATAGCCATAATTTGAGGTCCCAGATGTTTGCGTTCCAATATGTTCTACTGGATGTGGATGTGATTCTGTTTGCATATTTCATGTGAATGCACCATCCAAACAGCGGATGTGATTCTTCCCATCACAAACTTCACATATATAAAACAAAGTCAAGTCAAATCATCTCAAGTCATCATGTTTCATGGTTCAATCCAATCAAAATACTGGCTGCTGGTTTCAACCCCCCAGCATGATCTTGTGTTGGGATTATCCCTCACATTTCTAGATTGAAAAAATGAAAAGATAGTTATAGGTGAAATCACTGTTTTCTCCCAGTTTTTTTGTGGGTCAACACTGGTACCATGTTGGTAGATAATGATGGTTGGGGGCTAATCTGGCGTTACAGGGTTTTCACCCACATTGTTTTCCCAGATCATAAAATTGTGTTGGGATCATCCTCCCATTTCTCGGCTTGAACATCTGAACAGATTGTTGAAACTACAGTTTTGTTGTCTCAAGTTCATAATTCTTTAGAGGTTTCATTAGCATGGTCAATCTGTGGTAGTCCATTAAAAAATAATCTTTTGCCGCTTGGCTGGTTATTTTTGTTTCTCGCAAAACTATGCGAAGGATGAGCAAAACTACCTATCCAGTTGGTGGGGATGATATGAAACCATTAAATTCCCATATCATACACGATTTTTGATGCTTAAAAACATCTTTGGTGGTTATCAGTATTGTTATTCCCTCTGATATTCCCATTATACCAATATGCTCCCAAAAGCTATTCCCATTATACCACTAATCAATATTATTATTCCATCAACATATTATTATTATTCCTAAAAAAACACTAGTGACTAGTGTTATTATTCCCATTTATATGCCCATTGTTCCCATGATATTCCCATTATAGCACTTTATTCCCAAAAAAAACACTATTGTGATTATTCCCATTTATATTCCCATTTATATTCCCATAAATTTCAATTATATTCCCATTATATTTCCATTATTTAAATCCCATTATAAGTCAGATAGTATCATTGACATACCAAAAGGTAGGCCTGAGAGGGGACGGGGACCATATATGTATATATATATATGTATATATATATAGATACATGTAATTCCCATGATATTCCCATTATACCACATTGATCCCAATCTTTTCGACACTTTCCTACGGCCCGGGGTTCCCCAGCAGACTGCAGCGTTGGTTGCGCCAATCCTCTCGGGCACGACGCTCGACTCGGCAGCGGTCCTGAGGCTTTGGGCCCATCAGAAATGGTGGTTTTATGATGGTTTTATGGGACTTCAATGGTGATTTTACGATGATTTTATGGTGATATATATATATATATATATGATTATCTACAATTAGTGAGGCCCAAGATATCGATATCTAAGTTGGGGGCCACATAACTCCAATGTCACGAACTGGTTTGTGGTACGCAAATAACTATAGTTACTGGGGCTTTTGTTAACCAACTAACATCACTGGGGGGCCTCACATTGTAAGTACCCTAAAGTAGCCGAATGTGATCATAAAATCGGTTTTGATCCATCCCCATATGGGACTCTACCATGGTAATTTTATGGGGATATACCATTACGTAGCCTCTACAAGGTGGTGCCCCCCAAGTTATAAGTTGGTTTATAATCCCATTAACTATAGATATATCACCTATAAACCATAGTTATTGGAGTTATAAACCAACTTAGCTATCTAGGGGGCACCACCTTGTAGTAAACCAAGAGTTTCTAGATCAGTTTTCCTACTTTGGTGGATCATCCCACTAGGGTTACTGGAGGGTAACCCTAAGAACTTGCGGGGCCAAGGGGGTGAAGTTGCGGAAAAAAACTAAATCTTCATCTCTATGTTTCATTCGGAAGGTTTTACCAAAAAGTTTAAACAAACATTCTGCCATCCAAACAATTGGCTAACCAGGGAATCAAGTTGATACAATCAAGGTATGTGATCAAAAGGTACAGGAAAATGATAAATACCCATTGAATAAAGTGAAAATACCTTGGCTAACATTTGTGATCAAAATATGTGATATCCCTGAATTCATGCTTGACCGGCATAGCCTTGCCAGGGAATGGATAGCTATGTAGCTTCTGGTCTGATGTTTTTTTTTCGTGTCAGATGGGGAATACCTCGAAAATGGTATTTGTTATTTTTGGATACCCAAAATACAGATTATATAAATGCTAAATATAATAGTGAAATAAATCCTAAATAAATATTATATAATATTATATTATATTATATTATACAAAGTGGGCCCCCCTAGATAGCTAAGTTGGTTTACAACTCCAATGTCGCTATTGTTTATGGTACTTATAACGAACTAGTTACTGGGGCTTATAAACCAACTTAGATATCTTGGGGAGCCTCACATTGTATATATAATGATATTATATATTGAAGTAAATGCTGAGTCGATTGACCAATGGATTTGGGTCTATTATAGCAACACGCTAGACCCGATCTGCGCCGCAGAAACATCGCTGGAACTCACGAGTTCCAGCTCGGGGTTCATGTTTAAACATATTATGACTGTCATTTGATCTAATTGCAATGGATAATTGATATATACTATTATAGATACCATTATTATTACAATTAGTGAGGCCCCCCGTTGTGATGTGAACGTTGGTTTAGATAAGCCCCAGTAACTAGTTCGTTATTTGCGTACCATAAACCAGTTCGTGACATTGGAGTCATGTGGCCCCCAACTTAGATATCGAGCGGGGGCCTCACATTGTAAGAAAACTTATCTGAGTGAACATCATCCCATAATCTTTTTACATAGTAATGTTAGTTTATCAGAGGGTTCACGTTTATCTGCAAGACCCTCTCATAAACCAAAATAAATATGCAAATTCATCACTTTTGGTAGGTAAAACAACAAACTAAATGTGCCATGGCTACCATAGCTATGTTCGTTTACGGTATATATCATTTCAAACTGTCGGAGGTAAGAAATTTCTGGCAGTCAGTTCCACATAGCCGGGTCAATGTTTAATTCCAAACCGTTCGGGTTTCAATGTTAACTTCCCATTCCCATATGCGCCATGTATGGACTATTTACCAACATTTGCCCTAAAATCATAGGTTAATATACCATACATGGAGCATATGAGATTCATGGCAGGTATTCCCAACAATTCCAACGATCTATGTTACCCTCCGGCAATCAAACGTGGTTTGCTTGCACACACCTCAATTTAGTTCGATGATTTCCCGACCGAACCAAACATCCATGTCATCTTCTAGAGGGTACCTTCTGGTTATTTAACCTAGCTATGGAAAATCACAATGTCTAAGTTCGGTAATTCATCATGATGGTCATCTATAAATGGGCCATGGCTTCCATAGCAGGGTAATCTAAATGCATGGCTTTAAAAAATCCAAACAATTGCCCAGTTAAAGCATGTGACACCTCCATTGCTAGGGAATTTTCCAGAGGCTATCCTCCAGTAAACTAACACACCTATGAAAATCAGAATGTTTAAGTCCGGTAAATCATCGAACGAAATGGCCATGGCTTCCATAACTGCCATAGCTATGTGAATTTCCCAGAGGGTATGATGATAAATCCAATTAAAGTCTATTAAATCACAATTTTAAATATCCAATTTATTTGATGTTTTTCTGATCTGGTTGGTGGCTGACCTACCCCTCTGAAAAATCTGAGTGAAAGTCAGTTGGGATGATGATTCCATTCCCAGCATGATGGGAAAGTCATGAAATTCCATGGTTCCAGACCACCAACCAGTCATGTTGTGGTCTCTTGCCAATTTCCATGGCATTTCCAGAAGTCCTCCAGCTCCTGTTGGCTTTCCTTCACGAGTTGCTCACAGCAAGCTGTGACCGCCTGCGCGGAGCTGAGATGCCAATGGTTCATCAGGTTTGAACTATGAAACATGGGGCTGTTAATCTAGTTTAACCATATCGAAATGCAGTTTTTTGTATGTAAGAAAAATGAAATATGGATGTGTGATATATGATTCATAAATGTATGCATATTTGTATGTGTATGTATATAGTATATATATATATATATGTATCATGTATATACATGTACCTGTATATGTGTATGCATACATGTATATAAGGTCCTCCCCTAGATAGCCAACTTGGTCTATAACTCTAATAACTTTGGTAAACGATATGTATAATATAGCTAATGGATGCTAAGGGGTTTATAAACCAACGTAGAACTGCGGGGGCCCAAAAAAGTAGTACACTTGAGATCAAAGCATATTTGGAGACTCAACATCCTTTAACAATAGAATCATCTGAATCTGTGCAAATATATGGCTTAAATATGGTTTGCCTATGGATGATGCATGGTTTTTCTATGGTTTATCTATGGATGTCTATGGTTTATCTATGGTTCCTACCAACGAAGATTAGGGAACCTGGGGTTCCAGCCAGATAACAGGATTTGATCATTGCCAATGTGACGATTGTCATGTATCGAGTAGTGAACCGTCAATCTTATCTAAGCATCTGAAGGGAGTTGCTGGTTGAACCCCCGAAAAATATGAGTTCGTCAACTGGGAGCATTATCCAATTTATGGGAATGGAAGCTCAAAACTCTTTTTTCAACCAGGAACCGTTCTCTAAAACATTCGAAATCACAACATTTGTGGATCATGGGATTTTTTATTCGCCATTCTTTTGCTTGCCATCAGCCAGTTCCTACCTCTCCCTATGATTTTGTCGGCCTCCTTGGCCGCCTTAAAGCTTTGCATTTCACTTTGTAGCTCCACCAATTCCTTGGACGTGGCAGGGGTCAGGGGTTCATCACACCCCTTTTCCTCAACCAATGTGGGTAAAAGAATCATAAACCAACCGTGACTGGGAATGGTAAACATAGCACCTACAAAAATGGTGATGACTGGGGGAAGGTGCAAATGGCATTGTTTGACAAAAACACTCATCGATTCCCCAGTTCTGGTAGAAGTTCCATTGGAAAAGTAACTAAAATCACTAAACAAAGCCAGGATTCCTTGCTTTGTTCATCACTTTTCTGCTGCCAATCACTTCGCTGATCTTCGAGCTCCGTTCGCAAGAGAGCCGCAAGGCGCAGCTCCGCTGAGATCTGTTCGCGTTGTTCGCGTTGCGCTTCCTCCCTGACTTTCACTTCATCCTGGGGATGAACATCATGGGCAAATTGCGATAATGCCTTTCAATGCCTTTAAATGTATCTAAATGTATCATCACCATCGCCACCATAATAATGATAACAACAATAATAATACAGTAATCATCATCATCATCATAATCATCATCATCATCATCATCCATCATCCATCATCCATCATCTATAGTGAGGTTGGGGTGAGGTTGTGATGACATATTTCAAGTTGCCCAACCATGACGAGCAACGCCGCGCAATGAGCTTAGAATTCAAAGCTGGCGTACAACTTGGTAGTGCATAAGTATGGTGCGTATATGTTTCAAATTTAATCACTGCTCTTGCAAACAAAAAAACACGTGGTAATTCCACGATTGGCGATGCTAATAAATCATCAGAGGGTAAGCATGTGGAGAAAAAACACATCTGCCCATATCTAGGCATAGCTCTTCACTTTTTCAAGCACTCCCAACTGAACAGTTGAACACTCCCTCGCCTCTTCATGCCTTTCAAGGTCCTCAATTCTCCTCTGGCAATCCACAGCCTCTCTTTGGCAGCTGTCCATTTCACGTTGGAACTCTTCCAGCTTCGAGATGTTTTGCTCTTCGCTTCCTGAGATGGTCCGGTCTAAAAAATCAGATCCCCTTTTTTGGGCCTTTGGATTCCCTATTTCAATATGGAAATGGGAAAAATGCCACACATCACCCTTAACAATCCACACAGCAAATCTGAGTCTCTTCGACAGCTCTCCATTTCAGTCAGGTATTCTTCCAGCTCCGCCGTTTGCCTTCCGCTTCTCTGCTGCCACTCACTGAGTTGCTGTTGAAACTCCGCTGCAAGGCGCTGATTTTTTTGCTCTTCCTCCTGGCGCGCTTCTTCCTGAGCAACACGCTGTTCCTCCAATTGCCGCAGCTCATCTCTCACCCTTGTCATCTCTTCCGTTTCCTGGGCTTTGCTGAAACCCGAACCCCCAAAAAATGTTCAACCTATTCCCTTCATCGATTCCCTAAGCAGTGGGTTTTCGGGAACATCAGAACCATATTCAGCAAATCCAAGCTTCTGGTCGAAGTTTCTCTTCCTGTTTCGTGGCTTGCAACTCACTCCTTGGATGTGTTTCTTCTGCCAAACTCTGAGAGATTTCCAGGATCTGAAAAACTGGATTCATCCAACTCCCACAAGGTCGCCCCCAAAAAAAGTTTGTGGAATTTTTTGCATATGGTTTATCAACAAGCCATAACTGTGGCCCAAAAAAAACAGTTTTTTTTAATGGAACTATAACTCCTATAACTAACTTAGATCAACTTAGGAATTGTTTCCAGGGCACTGCAAGAACTAACTCTAGGAGTGTTTTTTGGGCCTTTGTTCTTGTTGGTTCACGATAGGAGTATTCGTTGAATACCCAGATATCCCCAGGGAAGCTTAGTATGACATATTCCCATATTAAATGTAGGTAAATTCTCATCATATGTAATATGTAATACAATGGATATGTAATATATTCAATGTTTGAGTCACCTGGCTTCGAAATTCTCATGAAATCTTCCCATAAATTGGCGAATGCTGGGAGAATGCCATGAAAATTACCAAAACTGGACCCTAGGAAACCCAAAATGATTGGGCAACATCTTAAATTCTATGGCTACTTGGAGGGGGAATACAAGTTGCTGCCCTCCCAGTTAAATTTGTTGATGCAAATAACGAGGGTCTAGGCATGGTCTTGCCCTCTCGGTTATAAGTTGGTGCAAATAACACCCACTAACTAGTTCGATATATCTACCATAAGCCATAGAATTCAAATACTTATTTGCACCAACTTAGCTAGAGTACATATGGTTATTTATCTACCATAAACACTATTTGCACCAATTTAGCTAATGATTAGGGATTAAAGTGATTAAAGGCAGCTTTGTATCATCAAAGCCAGGACTCTTGTGCACCTCTTTCAGTTCTTCGCAATCTTTTTGGTGCTGCTTGTCCTTCTCAGCCAGCTCTGCTTCGAACTTTGCTTGCTGCGCAATTCGAGAGCTGTTGTAGCACTGCAGCTCCTAGACACAACGAAGAGCTGTCCAATGTTACCATGCAAAAAAGTGTCTTTTAGCTGGCTATAGAAGATAGATAATTGTAGCTAGATGCATATATATGTACTGTATATTGTATATTCATACATATTAGATTGCATTAGCTTTATATACTATATGGGTATTCACGATCTACACCGATATAGATCTAGAAGTATACACTCATATATACATATATTAGATCTACATATTATCTAATTGTGTCTATCTCTATATAGATACTGAATCATATAGATATAGATGTATATATAATGATATATATAATGATATATATAATGACATATAATAATATATATATAATGATATATAGTGATATATAATCACATAAATATATATATATATAATGATATACAATGAGATATATATAATGATATATATAATGAAATATATAATGCTATATATATATAAGGATATAATATATATATATATGTAAGGGTGTATATATATATGTTTATATATATATAATTTTTATATATATATGTATATATATAATTTATATATATATATATGTATTGCTCAAATAGACCAACCAATAGAAGGATCAAAGTATTGATCGAATTGATCCAGTTCTCTTTGCTCAAACTTCCTGAAGTGTTGGACACGTCCCTAAACGAGCGGAGTTGCTTTGTGTCACGAATATAGCTAGGCTTTATGGGGGATGTATTTATTTAGTTGAGCAGTATTTAAAGTCCTCAGTTTTTTTACTATACTGACTCCCAGTTCATCCTGATAACCTTCAAAAAACCTTGGTAGCAAAACCCCCTAATTTGTCATCAACACGGGTAGAACGCAGCCACTGCTCAGATGGGGTCACACCCAGGCCCTGCAGCCATGGCCTCTTGAACTAAAGCCCTTGCTGCCAGCACTTCTTCTCCAAAGTCCTGACTCTTCTGATTCTTCTGGACATGTGATGGAAAAACAAAAAAAACAGAGAAACACAAGGCGAAAACACGAAAACAAACATGTGATTTAATGGTGAGTTAATGGGATTTAATGGTGACTGAATGGGATTCAATGATGATTCAATGTATTTGTGTGCTTTAAGGATATGTAAGGGTGATTCAATGGGATTTACTGCTGATTTACCATCCCGTATCTTCAAACATGGCTTGCTGGAAAATCCGCCATTTACTTCCATGATTTTCTCCAGTGAATTAAACCTCCATTTCGTTCCAGTATTTCCACGCAATCGCCATGTTTGCATACCATAGGGGAATTCATCAATATTATCCATTGTCAACCAATATCAACCATTATTTACCAAGTATAACTGGTTGGTGGTTGACCTACCCCTCTGAAAAATATGAGTTCGTCAGTTGGGATGATGAAATTCCCAACTGAATGGAAAGTCATCAAATTCCATGGTTCCAAACCACCAACCAGAACTATATATATATATGCCGCAATATGCCCCTATAGATTCCCCCAACGGTTGATTTCCAATTGGGAAAATCAAGAACCACCTTAAACAAACCAAAGTAGTAATGAAGAACCCATGTATAAACCTCCCAGGTAATGCCTGAACCATGAAATTCAGAAGGTTTATTTTTCTGATGACCATGTTTTATCAGGTTGTGATTAAAAAAAAACTAGTTTTATGACACTGTTACCCTCTGGTAAACATACAAAAAACTATTGCAAATGGCCCAGTCGAAATAGTTGATTTACCCAGCTAGAACATGGTGGATCTTTCCAGTTCGCAAACTGTAGACGTTTACCAGGCCGGGTATATCATCATATATCCCATTAAATCCCATTAAATGCCATTGAATCACCATAGGATTTCGTGTATTTCCCATGATTTTCATGGGTTTTGTTCGGTTCCTCCAAGTAGATTGTGAAACACCGGTTTCACAGTCATCCCATCCAATCCAATGGGCCTCACTAACTGTCAAGGTGGTGGTACCCAAAGAGTTATAAGTTGCTTTAGATTCACTCAAATAACTAGAATTTATATTAATATATATATATATATATGTTATTGCATATTATTACTGTAATATAACATATATGGTTCTATCATGTTCTATCATGTTCTATCTACCATAAACCTAAACAGCTATGGATGGAAGTATATTGAAATATCTTGAAGTGGCAGCAACTTAGCCATGACGAAATGGCCACCCGGCGCCTGCTGTTTCCCTGACGCCCACATCGTGGCGTGTTGGCGTCTCTCGCGCAGAAGCGAGTCTTGTGCACTGTGAAGCCTCGATCGGGCAGGACTGAGGTGTTACTATGGCTATTTTCAAGCCACCCTGATAACAGGTACAATGTGAGGCCCCCAAGATATCTAAGTTGGTGAACATAACTCCAATGTCACTCTGGTTTATGGTACTTATAACGAACTAGTTACTGGGGCTTTTGTTAACCAACTTAGATATCTTGGGGGCCTCACATTGTATGAATCAAAACCCTGGTGCTAGTGAACCCCAAAAATAGCTGGTAAATGAATGTTCATCCCACAAACTTCTAGCAATAGGTTTGATACATCCCCATATGAACAAGATAAGTATGGCTGTAGTTGAGCTGAAACAAATATGAAACCCCGGGGAGTTAAGCCCCATAAGTTGCGAGAATTAGGGGCCCCGAAAAACATGTTTACACGCTGAAACCGATGGTTGTTTCTGATAGATATGTTTTTTCCATAGACCTATGATCATTGGTAAAAGTGCTACACCTAAACGAGTAGATACCTATGTTCACGAGTAAATGGAGGGTCCAGATTATGATCATGGTACAAATCTATACAAATATGGGTCAAAAAGGAATGCAAATGAATGTAGTAACAACCAATAGATAGGAACGATTAGGAACGTGTTTCGAGTATCTTGTAGATGATGTTCCCCGCAAACTTGCAGTTTTCAACCGTTTTATCTAGTTGGGTGTTGCTATATTCCAGAGGAGTTCGCAAACGACAAAGAGGGAACAACAAGACTAGAAAATTGTACTTTGAAGACTACCATGTGGTAAACTCAATCGGTGTCTCCGTGTCCCATCCCGAGTAAAGAAAAAGACACAGTTAAACACAGCGAAAAAATAACACCAGCTTGGTAGCTACGGAGAATCCATTTATATACTTTGATGATTTTCCCAGCTATAAACCTCCAATTAGTGCGTGAATTTTCATGGATGTTCCATCACCACGTTTGATTACCAGATGGTATTCCTAGCAAATGCGTGGCAATGTTTGACCTAATGTTCTGCATCACCAATTTCAGTATGGATTGTGTCATAGAAGACATTAAAAAAAAAAAACGGAATACCCCAACAAAAACAACTTGATCATCAATTTCTCATGACAAAAATAAGGATTAAGCTTATCCAGTCAGGGATGGAGATATTTAAATTCTAACATATTCCAACCAGCAAAATCCTACAACACATTGAGATAGTCACCAATGATGCTTCTGATTCATGGTTACAGTAAATTCATAAATCCACATTTCTTTTATCCAGTGACACATTTATTTTATCCAATTTATTAATGTGTATCCTCTTTAATTAATAAATCAATAAATCATCCGACATGGGAAATTAACATCATTGGACATCATTAAATCATCCTAAATTAAATCATTAACCAATGAAAATGAATTTCCTAACTGATACATGACTTGAATTATTTATAGTGACCAGTTTAATGATTCAATTAATGACCAATTAATCAATTCAAATTCGACTTTTCCTCAAGTCACTTGGGGATGAAAGAAGGACCAGACACTTGGATTTGCCTAAGGGGTCCCAAAAAAAATAAAAAATATTCACTATAGATTCCCGAAATGGTGGATTTCCTATTGGAAAAACAAACAAACACCTTAAACAAAACCCAGGACACTCGTGCGTCAGCATTTCGATGGCCTCTTGAGCCTCGCGTGTCGCATCGGTCGCGTCGTTGTAAGCGTTTCGATGGGGCGGAAACGAGATCGGCATGGTGAAAGAAACAACATGATGGGTAAATCATGGGAAACTGATGGGAAAATGACGGAACATGATGGATGATGTATCATGATGGATAATGATGTTCCCATAACCAATGGCATGTTCTTCAAGCAACCCCATGTTCCCATGCCGCGATGGGATTCCCACGGACTGAGAAAGCCCCAATTTGTCCAAAGCTGGATTCCACCGACCATGTTCAACGAGATACCTCAGGGAATATGCAAATAGAATCAAATATATACTGGTTGGTGGTATACCAAAACCACTCTGAAAAATGATGGACTGAAAGTCAATTGGGATTTTTGTTCCATTCCCAACTGAATCGAAAGTCATAAAATTCCATGGTTCCAAACCACCAACCAGTATATATGTACAACCAAGATTAACTCGCAATATACAGGTTTGCTCACACCAAATACAGGGCTGTTGTAACTGAGTAGATCAAGAGGTAAAATGACCGGCGATCATGTACCTAAGATAGGGGGGAGCAAGCCTGATATAGATTAGAAACAAGGTGAGGCCCTCAGGTTATGTTTGTTGCTTTATAAACACCTGGGCTATAGTTATATCCCCAATAAACATCCACAAACCTTAGAATTCACCAAGTTATAAGTCAAGTTAGCTATCGTTTAGGGGCCTCACCTTGCAATTTACTTATTCTCAAGCTCAACAGATTCCGCCAAATAGCTCCCAGCCCCCATATGGGCGCCCCGCCTGATCAGCATTCACTGAGATGAAGGTGGCGCCTGCCTTGCATTAAGAAGACTTACTTCCATTACAGTTCTTAGTGGAAAGATGTGGGAAATACTTTTTCCTAAACCCCCTGTCTGGCAGGGTCGTCATGTTAATCATGTAAAAATCTGGGGGAGTTTGTGTAAGCAGGGAGCTAGAAATCTACATGGAAAATGAGATCTGCAAAAAATGCAGCACCGAGGGCAGACTGGAAGAAACCGGAGATTTGGGGTGTATAACTGGGTTGGTTTCCGGGAACAATCTGCAGGAAACCATGGTTTTCGCGGCGAAGACAAGGGGTGCTTCCTGTAAAATTTCTCAACCTCCAAGCAACGTTGAGCTGCTAGGAAAACAAGGACACTCAACGAGGAGGCAGGGGGCAAAAAAAGGCACCACACAACAGCAGTTTCACATTGATTTCCATGATTGAGCCACCCATCTTCTATAAAAATGAGTTGAAATCAGCTTGCACCTAACATTCCGTGCAAGTCATGTTGGGCATAAGTATTAAGAACATATGAAACTAGTTGGTGGTTTCAACCCTACCCCTCTGAAAAATGATAAAGTGAAAGTCAGTTGGGATGATGAACCAGGAAAATATGTGCCTCCTTCAAATGGTATTGGGATGGTATGGGTCAAAAGCTATTACATCAGATTTAGGTGGAAGATCCATAAATTCCAGCTGTTTTGATGTGAAAACCCACTTTCCATAGGTTTAACAGTTTCATACCTGGAGGTGCAGATAGGGTTGATAGGGTTAATGGGTACTGTATTACCAGGGTGAACGATGGTAATAACCTCCGCAAGTTGGGATTATAATCCCTACAACTATGGTTGTATAACCCACAAATTACTTTACTTCGTGTGATCCCCACCATGACATTTATACATGTTGTTACTGGCAAATCTTCTGGCATTCTATCTGACATATTTTCTGGCATTCGATCTGGCATTCTATCTGGCATATCTTCTGGCATTCTACCTGGCATATCTTCTGGCAAATGTTCTGGCATATCTTCTGGCAGATGTTCTGGCATATCTTCTGGCATATCTTCTGGCATATGTTCTGGTATATCTTCTGGCATTCCATCTGGCATTCTATCTGGCATATCTTCTGGCATATTATCTGGCAAATCTTCTGGCATTCCATCTGGCATTCTATCTAGCATATCGTCTGGCATATTATCTGGCAAATCTGCTGGCATTCTATCTGGCAAACATTCTGGCACTTTATCTGGCATATCTTCTGGCATTCTAGCTGACATTGTATCTGGCATTCTATCTGGCATACCTTCTGGCATTCTATCTGACATATCTTCTAACATTCTATCTGGCATATCTTCTGGCACTCTATGTGGCATATCTTTTGGCGTGGATACTCGCGGTTGAGGTCCGGCAGGGAACACTGGGCGTGGATGGTCGTGGTTGAGGTCCGGCAGGGAACACTGGGCGGGGATGCTCGTGGTTGAGGTCCGGCAGGGAACACTGGGCGTGGATGGTCGTGGTTGAGGTCCGGCAGGGAACACTGGGCGTGGATGGTCGTGGTTGAGGTCCGGCAGGGAACACTGGCGATGGTCGTGGTTGAGGTCCGGCAGGGAACACTGAGCATGGATGGTCGTGGTTGAGGTCCGACAGAGAACACTGTGGATCGCGGGTCGCAGTTGGACGAGGAGGACGAGGAGGACGACGAGGAGGACGAGGAGGAGGACGACGAGGAGGAGGAGGAGAGGAGGAGAGGAGGAGGAGGAGGAGGACGAGGCAGGAGGAGGCAACTGACATAAAATCTAACAACCCTCACCTGGCAGGTGGGGAAAAAACACAAAGGCACCAAAAAGAATACGTCGCCGCTTCATGTAATTTCTATAAGTTCCAAGCACCAACTGGGTTTTGTCGGGTTCCCAAAAAAGGGTCCCCATTTTTGGGTCCCAGCTGCCTGTGCATCTCTCAGACTTTCCAACTCGCTCCGAAGTTCGAGAAGCTCTTGCTGTTGCTCCTCACCTTGGAATTTTGCGATGGAGATGGCACAGTTGGAAAGCGATGGATTTCCCATTCAATCAGAACCATGGAATCATGAGTGACCATGAATCATTGGCTTTATGGTTCATATATGCTTCATAGGCGCTAATTTGTGGTTAATATATGCTAATCATTGCTAAGATTTGCCCATTTTCTTAGCCCAAATGCTCCATGGTGCTGGAATATTTACCTACAGAACTGGGCCATTTTTGGGGTAAATGTAGGTAACTATTACATACATGGAGCATCTGGGTAGGTTAAAGTAGTCTAAAGCCAACTCAGCTGGTCGCTTCTCTGGTGAGCACTGCGCTGCTCAAGGTCAATCAGCTGTTCCTTAGCCGAAAGAATCGACTGATCGACCATAAAATCTGGGACCCATTCAAACAAACCCAAATAGTGAATTCATCATAGTAGGTATCTAAAAATGAGGTATACTCCCACAAATTGTCATTTTAATGTGGAAAATTAATGATGATTACCATCCGGTTATGACTAACATGGCCATGGAAAATCCCTTATAAATGGAGGTTTCTAGCTGGGAAAATCATCTATAAATAGGCCATTTTCCACTGCTATGTTAAATAACCAGAGGGTAGTGGATTCGTCAAGGGAAAGAACAACTTATCTTCGGCTCCAAGGTTCTGCATGCTGCTCTTCTAGCTGCTCTTCTAGCTGCAACTGCTTCAGCCGCATTTCTTCGAGTTTCTCTTCGGCCTCTTTCGCTGCTTCCAACGCCCTCTCGTGTTCTTCGCCTTTTTCTGCCAGCTCTTTCTGAAACTGCTCTTGAAGTTGTTCCAGCTGCACACGTAGCGTGCGTTTGTTCACCGGACTTGTCTGATGCTGCTCTGCAGCACGTCTCAAGTCCTCTCTCAGCGCAACCATCTCCTGCCCAGAATAAAAGGATATAAAAGGGATGATGAGTCAACTCAGCCTCCGTATTCACCCTCCACTCTCTGGTAATCTAACATAGCTATTGAACATGGTCATAGAAATGTTGATTTACCCATTAAAAATGGTGATTTCCACAGTTATGTTAGTTTACCAGAGGGTACTATTCGCAATTGCTGTAGGTGTTTATACACATGCGAAAGGAAATGGTTCCATCGTGACTTGCATTGAGGTAGATCTCAATAAATCTAATTCTAGGCCATGAAACTTTGAAAACACGTACCACGTCCTGGAATCAGGGTATCTATAGGCAGGGGAAGCATGAACAAATAAAGATAAATCATGGTGACATGTTGTGATTTCAGTGAAGATAAATTATGGTAACATAATGGATATAATAGGATATAATAGGATATGTACCCTCTGGTAATTTAACATAGCTATTGAAAATGGCCATTGAAATAGTGGATTTTCCCATTAAGAATGGTGATTTTCCATAGCTATGTTAGTTTACCAGAGGGTAACCAACAATATGACTGTCCCATGACAAAAGCATCGATGGTTGGAGTCATGGGAAAAAACCGCCCTGTTGGATTTTCGGCGAATCATCCCATTTCTGGAAAACAGATCAATGATAAACATCGGCATTCTATGGTTACATATTATATATCCTTATGGATCCATGGCCACTGTCTGAGAAGGTACTTAACCCTCCAAATTATACTAAATTATACCCCAAACACTTCCTAAGAAGGTACTTGGATCCATAGGGTATATATATATAACTATATATATATAATATATATATCTGCAAATCCAAAAAGAAAACATTGTTTTTGTTTTGTCTGTTTTCATGGATACATGAATCTTTCTTCGGACACCAGGGTCCTAGTGCTTTTTGGATTCATTGCATTTTTGCATCGTTGGTTGGTTGTCCAGCAGATTCCCTGAATGGTTCCCAGAAGACGCGACAACCAAACATGGCAGTTGAACATCCTGTATAAATGACACTTTAAATGGTAACATCATCCATATATTATTGGATTTTCTGCCAGCTTTTATTATCAGAAGGTAAGGTTTTTTTCAAACCAAACTTTGAAAAAGTACCAATTGACCTGTCCAGCCCTTTCTGCGCCTGCTCTTGGCTTTCTATGACCTTCGTGTTCGTCTGCACCTTCCGACGCATCTTTTTGAGCTCTGCTTCTAGCGTTGCCGAGCGTTCTTGCTGTTCCATCACTTCTGCACGCTGTTCGTTTCCTGCAGAAAGCTGTTCCTTAGATTTGCTGATCTGCAAAGAAAAATAAAGAAAGACATCCATGCCTATTACCCTCTGGTATATTAACATAGACCCTGGGAGTCATGGGAGTTGGAAGATTAGTGAAACCACTATAAATTGGTGATTTCCAGGGTCAACAAGTTAATTTACCAGATATTACCAGTAGATTCCCCAAATGGGATGGATGTGTCTGAGAATGGGGGCCCCATTGCCCCATTGATCGCCTCTCCCACAGGGCCCATTTCAGTAGAAAGAATCGACTGATCGACCATGAAATTCGGGACCCATTCTTCAAACAAACCCAAATGCTCCATGTACAATGTGAGGCCCCCAAGATATCTAAGTTGGTTTATAACTCCAATAACTATGGTTTATGGTACGCAAATAACTATAGTTACTGGGGTTTATAAACCAACTTATAACTGGGGAGCCTCACATTGTATGGAAATTTTACCTACAGAACTGGGCCATTTTTGGGGTAAATGTAGGTAACTACATATTCCATACATGGAGCATCTGGGAAACCCAAATAGTGGATTCGTCAAGGGGAAAAAACAACTTATCTTCAGCTCCAAGGTTCTGCATGCTGCTCTTCTAGCTGCTCTTCTAGCTGCAACTGCTTCAGCCGCATTTCTTCGAGTTTCTCTTCGGCCTCTTTCGCTGCTTCCAACTCCCTCTCGTGTTCTTCGCCTTTTTCTGCCAGCTCTTTCTGAAACTGCTCTTGAAGTTGTTCCAGCTGCACACGTAGCGTGCGTTTGTTCACCGGACTTGTCTGATGCTGCTCTGCAGCACGTCTCAAGTCCTCTCTCAGCGCAACCATCTCCTGCTCAGCCATAGACAAACATCCCTTTTAAGACTCTGGAACCGGGATGATGGCATGTTTTGTGAATTCAAAACTTCGTATTTTCACTTGAAAACAGACCATATGTGTCTAATGAATTATATTCAAGTTCGTGGTAAAACAAATAGGTGTTTCATATCTGACATGTTTCTCCACATCTGCTACCCCCGTTGGGTGCCTGCTCTTGGTTTTCAAGGGCTTTGGTAGTTTTCTTCCACTCGCGACGCTGCTTCTCCAACTGTTCCACTCTGGATGCCAGCTGCGCTTCTCCTTCTCGTCGTTCTTCATTCAATTCCACCTGAACCGTGCGCGACCCCCGTTTCCGATGGCCGAGTTGGTGCTAATAACTGCAATAACTATGGTTGATTACAGATATATATATATATATATATAATATGTATATATATATAGAGAGAGAGAGAGAAAGGTTACAAACCAACCAACTAATGGTCAAAATATGATACAGGGTTACAGTATATATAGGTTGTAGACTGTTGTATAGTCACTCATCCCATGGGAATCCAAACATACTGGGTATATGCCATGCAAATTGCTGACAATCCCCCAATATCACCTACCATCTGGTTATTTAACACAGCCATGGAAAATCCCAACCATAAATGGAGGTTTAGTTCGCTGGGAAAATCATCTATTTCTATGGGCCATGGCTTCCACGGCTATGTTAAATAACCAGAGAGTAAGATTTGACTAATGTCAACCCCGGATTAATAATAAACAATGGTTTATTAATTAGGGGGGTACTCCAATAGTCATAATCTAGTACTTAAATGGTACCATCCCAATTAAACAGCCATTTGGGGTTTATTAATCCATGGTTGACATTATGGCCAAACCTTCCCCATGGCTTTGCTAATAATCCCTTGCCATTCGTAGGTCATATCCGTCATATCCTATGATCCATCAACAACCATCAACTAACCATCATTGACCATATCCTGACTTCCTGGTGGTCAAATGCCGCTATGAGTTCGTTGATATGTTCATTTACTATAGATATGTGTATGTATATATATATATATTATGCATGTATGTATATAATATAATTACATATATTTATATTCCCCATAGCCCTAGCCTAGTTACAAACCGACTTACCGATTCACGGCGATCATTCAACCAATCCAGCAGTGTTCACGGATGATGATCATCCATGTATTGGATAGCACAACCCCCAAACTAATTCTGTTCACAATCGTTTATCAATCATGTTCCCATATGATTCATGCTTAAAACCCATGTATTAAAGAGACCAATCATGAACTGACAGGGATGAAGGTGAAAATCCGACCGTATCAATAATATCCCTATATGCTTCATGGTTAAACCACCTTAAACCCCCTAGAAAGCCATGGATTAAATCATATCAAGCCATCATGTACATCTCCGGCACCACGTGAAGTTTTTTGGGGCGTTTTTCGACCTGTTTTTCCAGCTCCATGAGGTTTTCCCTCAAGGCATCTGCAGCTTCAGTGCACAGCTCACATTTTCCCCGCAACTCCTCTTCCTTGGCTGATTAACTTGGCACTAACTTGGCGAAATTGAGGCGTTTTTCAGGGAACAAAAGCCAGTTTAACGTAGGGTTTTTTATCATAACTTGGGGGCAGGGCCAAGTTAACCTTGGGAGTATATCTTCCGGGCAAATTATAATATTTCACTAACCTGAATTAAGGCCATTTTGGGATGATTCCCCTTACTAACTATGATGATAGTGAGGTCGCAGTGAGGTCGTTATAATTTACCGAGATATCTTGTATGTGTTCCAACAATACTTGGGGGTGCAGTTCAGGTTACAACATCTTACAACTATACAATGTGAGGCCCCCCGTTGTGATGTGAACGTTGGTTTAGATTCGCCCCAGTAACTAGTTCGTGACAAGTACCATAAACCATAGTGACATTGGAGTTATGTGAACACCAACTTAGATATCAAACGGGGGCCTCACATTGTAGTTATATGAGTAATATGTACACCCCAATAAGTCGGGATAGTTTGGATATGGGCTTGCCACAGAGCCGACAATAACTGGTTTATTACCCGCTCTAACCCAGCTTTAAGAGGACTTAAACCAGTTCGTCTTAAGCAGTTGCATTAGACAAGTCTATGGCCCATCTAAGAATTATCATCAACTGGTTATATGGTGATATAAAATCTAACAAGCAACATATATCAAAATATGGGATAGATACTCGCCCAAATTCCAAAATCAAAGAAGAAATTGCAGCGAATCCATGGTCAAAGCACCCTGCTTTGATGGTTTTTCTATGGTTAAATCATCCATTCAAATCCAAAATTATCATGGTCAAAAACCATGGTTTTTTGCAGGTGAAAGCCCAAGAAAGTCCCAGATGTAAAACCCACGTGTTTCCAAGTAAATTCCAACATCTTCATGCGTACATATCTTAAATCATGTTAAATCCTTTCTGGTTGGTGGGGGCTACCTACCCCTCTGAAAAATATTACTGTAGTTAGTTGGGATGATGACATTCCCAATATATGGAAAGTCATAAAATTCATGTTCCAAGCCACCAACCAGCTTTTAAATCCCCATTTTTCATGATGAAATCCAACCGTTCGCAGCATTTTTCCAAGTGTCCAGGTACTTTTCCCTGAGGCGCGACGCTTCCAACTGCTGCGCGCAGTCGGATTCCGCGTTCAGCAGGGCATCTAAACGGCCTCTCTCCTGGACAAAACTCACTTGGAGTTCGGTCTCGGCACGTGTCATCTCCTGGCGATTTCGAGGGTAACCATGGTAACCAGGTCGAAATTCCAGGTGCCAGAATTTTGGTCCAAAAGTTCCCGTCATCTGGATGAACAAAGAAAATCAGCTGATCAAATATGGGGAGCTGGTTGGTGGTATACCTACCCCTCTGAAAAATGATGGAGTGAAAGTCAGTTGGGGTGATTATTCCATTCCCAACTGTTTCTGGAAAGTCAGAATCCATTCCATGGTTCCAGTCACCACCAACCAGCTTTTCAATCCCCATGTTTCATGATGAAATCCCAGCGTTCCCAGCATGTTTTTCATGTTCCAGTCACCACCGCTCCCAGGGAGTTGATATCTAACATATCTGCCACGATTTGACCAAGCAATACACCAAATCTCTGGTGATCGCTTTTGGTTATGGAAAACAGTTTGCTGTGGAAGCCATGGCCCAGTTTTCTGGTGCGTTTTACGTAGGGAATTTTCGGGAATGATCCATAATCACAAGTAATATCTAGTAATAATCATCCCAGCAACCCCCAGCAACCCATCCATTCCCTACGTAAAACGCACCAGTAAGAAAATTGTGTTTCTGAAAAAAACTCACTGGATCATATTACTGAGTACATTATCATAATGGTGGGATCAACGAGAACAAAATGGATTAATGGCATGATCAACCAATTACTAATGATTACTAGTGGGTGAACAACAAAAACAATTGATCACATTGACTGATTATCAACCAAAAAGGATGTTATGAAAAAAATGGGAGTAAATATGAGTTAATTATTCTACTGGGATAACTATGGGGATATCATGGGGATACAATGGGGGAAAAACTTTAAAAGGGAAAATTGGGGAACATGACGATGTGATTACTATCATTCTATCGGGATACAATAGGGAGATACTGGCAGATATGATGTCGATTTGACTGGCTGAATCATAGTATTTCACCAAGATGAAGCAGAGAAAAAAGGGGGATAGTCACGACAATTGACACCGACCATGATTCAGAGATTCACCCATATTATATTTACAATTCACCTAGATCACAGTACCATCAACAAAAAATGCAGAAACGTTCAACTTATCTTTGTTTTAGAATCGGATGCTGCTTTTCTGCATCGGGCTCTTGGGAGCTTGGCTGCCCTTGGCTATACGAAATTTGGAGCACAATCCCATCCCACTAAGACCAAATACCTCCACCTTTGGAACCCCCAAGAGCAGAGCAGATTCAAAACCAAACCGGCTTCTTGGCTTGGGGGTATTCAACATGACAAGGGGGAAGGGATCACAGTATATCACAGTATTACCCTCAAAAATCCCCATACGGTTGGCTAACATCTCCTCATTAAAATTCTTTGAAGCTGCCAAAAAACAGAAGTCTCCTCCTGAAAAAGGATGTGATTTAGCACAAGATCGGCCTGAAGAAATCGCTCAAAATTGGAGCCACCTAGATATACTAGACCTAAATCATCGCCGTGAATTTGCCGCAAAACTTACATCACTTACCCTATGAAAGTAACCTAACAGTTTGCTATGAAAAATTGCCATCTAGAATCTATATACTTGATTTACCCAGAAAAAATGTGATTTTCCATAGTTTTTTGTATGTTTACCAGAGGGTACATTCACGAAAAACCTATCCTCGTGGTGACCCCCGGTTCACCGACACACACGTTACAAGTTCCCCTCGTGTCCCTCTCAGGGCACCTGTTGAAAAGAGCTTCGCAGAGCCAACAGCTCTCTTTCTCCAGCCTTCCAGGAAATAGCTGGCACCAATTTTGTTGCCTGTTGGGTATCTTACAATGTGAGGCCCCCAAGATATCTAAGTTGGTTTAGATTCGCCCCAGTAACTAGTTCGTTATAAGTACCATAAACCATAGTGATTGGAGTTATGTTCACCAACTTGGATATCTTGGGGGCCTCACATTGTAGTATACAAAGTTGGATACCCAAATCACTTTCAAAACGTGGCTTCTTTTATCTCAGGTCGTTGATGTTTGCCGAAGGCTACATGTTCATGTGATTCATGTGTCAATAAATGTTTTAAGGTGTTCTTCCTTTTGCAATTTCAGGATTTCGTGAATCCCATTTCATGGTGAACCATGGTTGTTGAAAGCTTAAGGCCTCATGTTCACCATGAATACCCTCTGGTAATTTAACATAGCTATTAAAAATGACCATTTATAGTGAGTTTTCCCATTAAAAATGGTGATTTTCCATAGTTATGTTAGTTAGTTTACCGGGGGCCTGTCCCAGTCTTCCCGTTTGGCCTTTTGCTTCTCTTCAGATTTCTCCTGCTCAAAATGCAGAGCTTCAATGGCTTTTTGGAGCCTCAGCCAGTCTCAGCCAGTCTCCCAGCTGGCTGAGTAGATATAAATTGGACCATTCTCCATGTGCATACATAGATCATAATGGTCCAATTTATAATCATACATAGGATAATGGTCCATCATTATCCTGCTAGCTTTTTGTTGACCAGGCTGTTTCTGTCCTGTTTTTTATCCATAGATCAAAAACAGGTAAAAAAAGGTATCCTGACTGGTTGGTGGTTGACCTACCTACCCCTCTGAAAAATGATGGAGTGAAAGTCAGTTGGGGTTATGAAATTACCAATATATATATATATATATATATATATATATATGGACAGTCATAAAATTCCATGGTTCCAAACCGGTCACCAACCAGCTGAAATTCATGATAAAAATGGACAGTTTCCCATCAGCAAAGAACGCACCATCGCGTCCACAGAGAACGGATGGACGTTCATTCCAGGTCAAGTCGATCAAATTCCCACCAGTTCCCACCATGTGGATGGCTCAATGGCTGAACATCCTTCGAAAACCATACCCCAAAAATTAAGAATTCTCTGAGAATTGTCGGTACCCCCAAATCCATTACAAAATCCATAAAGTTTTTGTTACAACATCTTCCCATTTAAAAGGACAAAACTTTGGGCCTGGCCGCCCCATTTTCAGACACACCCAGCCATTATGCCATTATATAATACTGCATATATAGGTCGTTTCGATAGTACGTAGAATTTCGTACATACCGTCCTTCATTACAAACAAAAACAGGAGCAAACTACCCTCTGGTAAACATACAAAAAACTATGGAAAACAACCATTTTTAGTATGGAAATCAACTACAAATGGTCATTTTCAATAGCTATTTTGACATAACCAGAGGGTACCCATTCAGTCAGTTTCCTCCGGTATTACCAGTCAGAAATAGGATACCCAATTCCATCCACGGGCTTCGAGACCCCAATATGGCTATGGATCAATACCGAAAAAAATCACCATGTTTAGCGGGAACATCCATAAATTCCAGCTATTTTGATGTGAACGTTCAGGGGTACTATTGGTTTTGACACGTTTTGACCCATTTTCCCAAGATGTTTTTCTCTCGAATATCTGCCTCGAACATCGTGGAAAACCATGTTTTTCCCAAGATTTTTCCAACCAAAACTTGCCGAAGATTGCCAGTGACTCATCTCTCACTTGTCGTAGATCCTCACGCGCCTGGCAAGGTGAGGGCCTTGCCTTTAAACGGAACCAAAGGAAAGTGGTGAGACTTCACCAAGAAACATGGGAAATTCATGGGATTTATACAATGTGAGGCCCCCGTTCGATATCTAAGTTGGTTTAGATAAGCCCCAGTAACTAGTTCGTTATAAGTACCATAAACCATAGTGACATTGGAGTTATGTTCACCAACTTAGATATCGAACGGGGGCCTCACATTGTAGTTGATTTATGATCAAGGGAAATTTAGATGTCGAAACTCCGTGATACGGAAATTACAACTGTGAAGAAAGTAGTAGCGAAGACAAGAGAGTAGAGAAGTGAAGAGAGTAGAGAAGTGAAGAGAGTAGGGAAGTGAACAGAGTAGAGTCGAGAAGTGAAGAGAAAAGGAAAGTTCTTATTTAACCAACCAAAATAGGGACTTAATGGCATTTAAGCTGATTTATGATATATCATAAAGTTGATGCACAAAAGCCACTTGGTGAATTCACTATGGCTGTTTGGGGGAATATTACGAAATCGTATTCATGAGGTTTCCAAACCAACAAACATAACTGGAAAGCCTCACTTTGTACAATGTGAGGCCCCCAAACGTGATGTGAACGTTGGTTAACAGATTCGCCCCAGTAACTAGTTCGTTATGTGCGTACCATAAACCATAGTGACATTTGAGTTATGTGGCCACCAACTTAGATATCGAACGGGGGCCTCACTTTGTAAGATTTTTAATGGGGCATATTTCACCCTCGGTGCCGCTTCGCCACACCGAATTCTGTTTGATATTGTGTGTGGGCCATGGATTTTTTAGGCTGACAACTTGAAACAAGCTGTGAGGACATCGAAATGAAAAACATCAAAAATAGAACGCGGGTATAGTTCGTGGATGAACATCTTATATTGAATGGCTGGTAAATGGATGATTCATCTGGTTTTTAGCATCCGTTAAATATATTAATTATCATTTTTTAACACTTGGATTATAATGGGTTATAGTATAGTTGTAACGTGTACATGATCGAAAATATCACCAACAAGATATTGATTAATGCGGATATGATGGGAATACAATGATGGGAATAAAATATGAAGCACCCCGATTGTATGGTCCAAAATATGTGTAAACCCTACTAAAGCATGTTTTCTGGGAGGGTGTTAAGTATTAGGGGTAACTTAGCCAACCACATGATATTTTGGGTTTGTCTGCAAATGGATATGAATCGCCCAGTATGGAAGAAAGGTGGCTCAACATGCCCAGATGCTCCATGTATGGAATATTTACCTACATGTACCCAACAAATGGCCCAAATGTAGGTAAATATTCCATACATGGAGCATTTGGGATGGGGAAAACAATCCGAAATCGGAATAAGTTGGAGATATATTTAGGGACCACTTTTCAACTTGACAGGTCAAAGCAATACTGATGGTGAAACACTATCCAAACGGGTTTTATTTCCGTACCGCAAAACGATGGTAAAA